AATTCAAAATTTTTGAGAAAGCTTAAAGATTGTTAAAAACATGCTTCAAGAAATAACTCTTTATCTTTATTATAGATCTAGGCCTCCTCGGTTAATATTAAACATGAATAAATCTTGGAATGAGGAATCAATTTACTTATTTTTAAAATTCCGCAGCATTTTTTGAAAAAAAAATAAGAGGATTTGCCTCATTGAAAAAGCAGTTTTACCAAAGAAAATTTTTAGAAATAAATTTTCACCTGAATTGAAGATCACAAGAAAATAATTAGAGATATATTCAAACGGGAACTTCCCTGGCTGAATTTATTTCATGGATTACCAAAATTAGTCATATTTTTGGAATCCGATTATTGGGATTATGATGCGGTTGATTAGGGACTTGTCAACCACATAACCTTTGACATAAGCCATATGGAAAGGTTTCAACAATTCATTATGATGATCAAGACTACGTTATCTTATGTCCTTCAGCGCCGATGGTATTCAAGTACTTTCTATACATTCCAGATCTATAGTTCTACTGACTGACATGAAAGAAAAAAATTATTTCTACCATATCAGATTTAGATACTAAAGAAAGCCGCTGACACCGACTTTACCGATGGAGAAGATTTTCAAAATAAAGAAGAAATTACAAACGCCTTAGCAATATAGCAACAATGTGTGGACAATCTTTTAGAATTAAGTCGGATTGCAAAAATTGAAAAAGAGAAACTCTTTTAAAATAATTGATGGAAGGAGAATTTTTGTCTCAGGCCATCTTATTGTCTACCAACAGAATCGAGAATAAATATGACTCCGGAGAAAAGCTGCTACAAGACATGATTAAATGGGATCAGCCAGATGTACTGTTTAGTATATAAATGTACGCCGATGAAATTGAAGAAATGAAAAAATATGCATTTAACCAAAAACCAAAATCCGTATGAGGATAATGTCTCAACAGCCAGTGAGGATAGTGTCTACTACCATAATTTGGGAGACGCAATGGAACCATGATGCAAGCCTAACATTAGAAGCCAAATTACTATACCAGAGCGTAAGTTGTGATGTCAACACCAACATTATTGCAAAAACGAAGTAAACTCGTAGTTTGCAGTCAGCAAAAACGATCTGAAAGTACTTTAGAAGAAACCACTGTCCCAAGTGATAACAATTGTCAGGTTATGGTTATAACAAAATAGTCATACGTAAGGAACTTTTGATACCTATATACCAGCCAAAGTACAAGGCTGTCAACTAACTCAAAAAGACAGATAAAGAAGAAATAAATGACTTTTTGTCCTCTTGTAAGACCTCTTGCTTTATAATATTTCCCATATATATTTTTGTTGGGCATGGATAAAGGGAAAAAACCTAGGATTACGATCAACAAAGGATTCAAATAGCCAAAGAAATAATTGTGATTCTAAACAGGAACGAAAAAGTTAGTATTCCATCTGAAGTTCCATATTTTTGTAATCCAAACTTACCCCATTCCATTTACGAAAACTTCAATGGAGTATGAAAAATTCATATCCTTTAGTGAAAAAGAGATTTTCGAAAATATATGGGTAAATTAGCCAATGAGATAGCTGAGCAAACAGTGAACCTCAATAAATCCAAGAGTCAACTTGATGATTTTCAAACTCATTGCTTCAATCTTATTAAACAAATGGAAATCCAAGAGTCAACTTAATGATTTTCAAACTCTTTGCTTCAGTCTTATTAAACATATGGACTGGAATGAGGAATTTTCTTATGAAAAAATAACCTTATTTTTACAAATTGGAGATTTGGTACAGATATAAGGATTCATGTTTTGAAAAAAAATAAGAGGATGACTCTTTGAAAAAGCCAAACAGATTTTATCAAAAGAAATTTTTAGAAATGAAATTTTCACTTGAATTGATGATCACAAGAAAATAATTAGAGATATATTCAAACGATAACTCCTCGGATTGAATTTATTTCATGGATTTCCAAAATTAGTCATATTCTTGGAATCCGATTATTGGGATTATGATGCGGTTGATTGGGGATTTGTCAACCACATAACCTTTGACATAAGCTATATGGAACGGTTTCAACAGTTCCCTATGATGATCAAGACTATGTTATCTTATATCATTCAACCCTGATAGTATTCAAGTACTTTCTATACATTCCGGATCTATAGTTCTACCAGGTGGTGAAAAAGAGAAAAATTCTTTCAACTATATTAGATTTGGATACTAAAGAAAGCTGTAGACTGTGACTTACCGATGAAGAAGATCTTCAAAATAAAGAAGAGTTAGCAGACGCCTTAGTAATACAGCAATACTGTGTAACTCTCTTATAAGGTAAAATTCAGCATCCTATATCTTTAAAGAGCCAAGACTAACCCTAGATCCCTAAAAGATCCAAAGGCGAAATCTTCTAATGAATTAGCAAGGTGGAACTCAAAAGGCTTAAATACGATATTCAATATCGTCTCACCCAATGAATTCTAGATGATCTCCAATTGCGAGACCTACAAAGAGGCTTGGGGTAAGAAACACGGATACGGACACAAATGTCGTATCCGACATGATACGAACGCAGGAATATGACAAAGTTCAAAAATATAGAATACGATTAAAGCGAGGATACGACTAATTAAAATAATTTTATATATTTTTCTATATATAATAACAATATTACTAATAACTAATAAAACCTAACAAATCAAGTTTCATGCAACTTCGTCAGACACGGGTGACTACGAGACTAGGGTTCATGCACAACAACTAACACAAGTAAGGTTAACAAGCTTAGTGAACACAAAAAGGCCCAAACAAATTGTTCATCCATTAAAAACCCAAAAGTTTTCCAAAATTTCAAAACCCTAAATCTCTAACTGAATGAAATTCGTAAAATAAATAGAAAACTCAATGCACAAAATCAACCCCAAAACATGCAAACCCAAAAATGTGGCAAAAGTTGCAACACCTTAGAAAAGCAAAGCAAACCTAATTTGCCAAAGCAATTAGGTCTTCTCTTCTTCTTCTTCTTCTTCTTCTTCTCCTCCTCCTCCTCCTCCACTCTCTTCTCTTTGTTGTCGAAGCTTGACCAGCCTTCGTATCCTCTTCGATCATCTGCCTTCGCCTCCTCTCTCGAGTGTCAAGTCTCTCTGTATCTTAGTCAATCTAATGAGAGAATGAAGGAAATGAGAGAAATAAGACAGACCTAAAAGGCTAAAACAATGACATCCTTCTTTTACTACTTCTTTTATTTTATTTTCTTTTCTTTTTTTTTCATTTTCAGCACCTAAAATGACGTCTTCAACCTTTTTTTCCTGTTGCAATACCCCAACTTTTTAAAATAACAAAAATAACCCCGTCGTATCCCATAAGTGTCCTGCACATATTCTATATGTATCTATCTTGTATCCCAGTTGTATCCGACCCCAAAAAAATTCTTTTTTTAAATATGGGACACTTTTAGAAGTGTCAGAAACGCGTCCAACCATGTCTCACGCATATCCGTGTCGGACACGTGTCCAACATTGCCACAGCACCCCTCCGGCAAGTATTTGTGCTTATAGAGCTTGGGACATCTTAGAAGTCTCTCACGAAGATACACCCTTAGTGAAGATGTCTCGGTCTCAATGGTACACCCCACAATTCAAACCTCCCTCCTCTCGTATTGAGCTTAAAGCTATGCCCCTCAATTTTTTGGGCTGTAGAAGATTCATCCCAAAAGCCGATATCGACCCTACTTGGTCTTCCATGGACACCCCCTTCACTGTTGACTCTCATTTCTAAGGCTGCTACCTTAGCTTGAAATCTCTCCAATAGAGATTTCAATAATTTTCATTTAATCGTGTAATTTGTATACTTAAAACTGAGGGCAAATGATGAATTGATAGCGTCACTTAATTTAACATTAGATTCACTAAAGGTTTCGTCATCTTGCATCCTTAAAGTTTCGAACTATGAAGTATACAGTTACGTGTATAATCATATGGAAAAATCCTTACATTAGTAGGAGCAAATACCACATCCTAATGATTAAAAGTTAATATATATGCTCTATATGATCCATATAATAAGCAAATATGATTGAATTTCCTCCTTGGTTCCCCACACTTACGCTTTCTATTGCAAGATCTCAAGCTATTGCAAATGCAAGAATCATAGCTACCATCCCGTTGCCAAACCAAGACACATGTCAGTAGAGGATCCTAAATTTAAACTCTACTATTATAAATAAAACGAACTTCTTGACCACCTCGCACAAAATATTCCTACAGTTAGAAGTTTCTTGAACACTATTGTTTTAGCCAACCACAACAATCCCTTCTCCACAGATTCTTCTGTGGATTTTCTGCGTACAATTTAGGTACTTAGTTGACATTCAGTAGAGTGCCGCTTTGTTAACTCCCCTTGGAAATGGGTTTATCCCTATATATATAGACGTCTTAAAAAGATTAAAAAAATTAATGGGAATACTAGTCAACATATACCAAACTAATGCTAGCCTTGCTCCTAAGTCTTGCTCTTTTGCAACAGATCAACTACAGGAATGGATGTGCTTCGATATCCACAAACAGTATATCACCATTTGTAAGAATTAGGAGTAAAAAATAAAATAAAATAAAATAAAAAGAGAAAGAAGAAATTCAAGTATTACTCTCTTTAAGTACCTAAGCATTACTTAACTAGGCCATACTTCATGCATCATCAAAACATGATTAAAACATGCTTAACAGGCTAAAAACCCTCTGAAACCAAAAATCATCATTAACATCTCATAGGCATTCCCATGAGCCATCGAGAACATAGCAACCAAAGAATAGGACTAAAGAGATTTTATCTATACCAGAGTACTTCCAAAGAAGTAACCCAGAAAAAGATTCCATCCGTATACATATTATGAGCTCAAAAAAAAGATGCAAATTAGAATCATAAAGAAAAAGATGAAAATTAATCCATACCCAGAACCCAAAATCATCAAAAATACAAATGTGGCTCTGAAAATCCAATACAATAAAACTCCAATCAAGCAGTAACACCAGTTATAACTTCTACAGCTCCAACCACTTCAGAAGAACAAGAATATGCAAACACAGAACACAAGTCCCCTCAGCAAGTTACAGAAGTCGAGCCCGACCGAACAAGTAAATGCAATTTAATCCATGCCCAACGCACAGTTTTCCAACTCAATCAACGTAATTACCCAAGTAGAATACCAATTACAAAACTTTTTTCAAAACCCACGTCACAAAATCATGAAATCCATAACTATGGACAAAACCACTGACAAAATAACATAATCTAATCCATACCCAGAACCCCTATTCATCAAGAAACCAAAAAACAAACATCTATTGAGGCGATAAATACCAACCCATCATGCTAAGTCAACCAAAAAGATAAAAAGAACCAAATGGGAAGAAAACAATGCAATTCAATCCATTCCCAGAAGCCATAATCTTTAAGAGACCAAATGGATATGCAAAAACCTGAGAAAAAACAACTCAAATTAAGCAAAAAAAATGGAAACCCCCCAAAACGAAAAGTACATATACATAATAAGAACGAAGAGAGGTTGATATCAATAAAGTACCACAAATCTTGATGGGTGCTTCGAGCTCCAACAGATTAGGCTGCTGCAAGAAAATCTCTCTGGAAACTACACACAACTGCTTGACCTCAGACTCCGATAGCTGCACCTGTTTCCCCGGTCGCCCTCTAACTTCAAGAAGCCGATTGATTATATCATCAAGAACACTTTGGTCCATTTCAAAATCACTCCCTCACTCTTTCCGCTCCTCTCTATAAATATAAACGTATATATGATCGTATTTATATATGATACATGAAAAATGGGAAATTTTTAAGGAGGCGAGTAAACGATTAGAGTGGTTTGCGTTTGAGGTTCTTCGTGTGGAGAAGTGTGGAAGAACTTTGATTAATGAATTATGTGTTTATTTGACGGGACGTGGAGATAAGAAATGGGTGTTATCGTTTTATGCTATAGAATGTGTCGTTTCGGAAAAAAAAACTTGAAACGTCCCTTTGCGGTATAGAAAGTTCCTCTGAGCCAAGGATATAGATTGTGAGTAAAGTCTCGAGTTCAAGCACCATCCAGAGTGGACTATGATCTTGGACGGTGGGAAATATAGTGAACTTTGTTGCAACTTCTACCCTCACTCTAGGCATGGGCTATTACACTTACATGGTGTCCACTTATATGTAGAGTTTTCAAAGTATTCGAACATATTGGGCCCATTTTAGCTTCAATGCATTTTAATTGGATTAAATTTTCAAAATAAATTAGATCTGATTACACTTCAAAGTTTGTTTTATAACAAGTTGAATACGTAGGGGCGGAGTCAAAAATTTATCATAATGCGAATAAATTTAAACAATAACATGATAAAAACATTGAACTAATAATAAATACAAAACCTTAAATAGTGATTTGTAATAATTATATCCAACACATTTACAATGTTATTGACTTGCTTTTTATATATTGAATATATTATATAATTTCATTATCAATATAATTAATGATGTTTTTCTAATACATCCAAATTAACTATGGTGAGAGAAAACGAGAGACCAACTATAACAGTTTACGAAATTAAGAGTAGAAATTTAATCCAATGTAAGACATAATTAAGTGGATCAAGATGCATGAGAGTTTTTTATTTTTTTTGTAAGGGGACAAATTTATAGATCTCTCTCTCTCTCTCTCTCTCTCTCTCTCTCTCTCTCTCTCTCTCTCTATATATATATATATATATATATATATATATATATATATATATATATATATATATATATATATATATATATATACTACTACAAAATGTCAACAACTTTTGATTGACTATAATAACCTTGCTAAAATAAGTAATACCAATACTATCTTTTTGAGTTATAATGCTATATTTGTTATAATTGTAACTTTTGTGTGGATTATTGACTGTTGGTCTGCTATTCTATATTTATACTGTTTGAAATTCTTTATCTGATAATTGTGACTGAAAAATAATTCTTACACGTAACAAATCTTGGGAAATAAGTATAGCAACCATTTCATATTCCATGATATGGCTTATTCATAGACATTGAACACAAAAATATTCAATCTACAATAAATATGTCAATTATAAATTATTAAGAAGTTAGAAGTCTAGCAGTTAGGCCTTCGCCATTATTGCCTCTTTCACATGACTTATTTACCAATTTAATGTTTAGACCCTATAAATTCTTGGGTAATTCTAAATGGGTAGTGCATACATCTCTTTTATCTTCCGACAAAACAAACCAACCCATCTCTCTCTAATAAGAAAATATTTTTATTTGGTATTCCGCTTCGCTCTCTTGTGGAGGTATGCAATTACCTTATTTATTGCCTCAATTCAAATTTATTGTTTGTGTATTATGGGTGTGAATGTATCACTGATCTCGGTTTGCTAGGCTGATCTAGAGTTTTATTCAACACATTTTTCTTCTTTATGGCTAGAGTTTCATGTGTTTGACAGTTGAAGACATTGAAAGGGAGTACATCTATTAATTTGTTTGTTATATTTTCTGATTTTTCCTCTACATATGGCTTTAATTAGTTTTGTATTCATATCATGGTTGATTATGCTTTCATTAGTTGATCGAATGTTGAAATTAGGTATTTTTTAATTCTCAGTTAAAATTTTGGTTTTATAGTGAAATTCATTCAAAGTGTTGTGTGTATGGTATCCTTTATAATTAGATCGTATCAAGAATGATTACGAAAAGTCTTAATATTGAACAATCCCATAAGTGGCTAAAGCGCAACCTATATTTGGAATTGATTTTTTCGAAGTTTTTTGTTATACCATCAATTTGTATATGTTTCTAATAGATTATGAATCATTGTTTGTTAATGCAATATCTTGTTATTGTTGTATGTGGTATTTCAAATATAGTAAAATCACTTATTGAAATTTTCTAATATCGTGTAACTTAGAATAAAATAGTAACAGTCAAGTGCGAAATAGTAACACAAAATACTAAAACAATTACATAAAGAATTAACGAAACAATTAAAATAGTCTTAAAGAAATAGTTACGCGTAAATGTTTGTTTAATCAATGTAAACACTGACTCATTTGCAAAACAGGAACTGTTATTGAACTTTAAATAAATCAAGACTAGTGTTTGACACTCTGTTTTTAAGACAGATTTCACCTCCACACATGGTGCTTATGAAATACAAAGCGTCTATCTCCTAGGATATAATGATTTTCACACAAGTAGAAGTAGCACTCCAATATACTTGTCCAACGAACTAGAAATTATGTTATATACTCTCCAAACGCAGACTGCCTTAATGGCGAAATGTAATGCACTAATGATTGTCTTAACTCTAAAAATGGTTTGATGAAATGAATGTGGAATGGTAATGAGAGTTTGGGTATTTAAAGACAGGATGGTGACTGTTTCGGACAACCACCATATGAAAGAACACATCCCAAAAGACAAATGCAACAGTCAAAAGATACCATTTGTGTAACTGTTCTCTATGGACAGACACAACTCAGAATTTCGGACTGAAAGGAAGTTATACTCTAAACCAGTACGAATTCAAACGTAACAGGTATCGAAATTAATTTTTGAATTAAAAAATTCATGCCCAATTAATTAAATAAATTTTTTCCAAAAAAAATAGGGTTTGGTCTAAGCCACACCCACATTCACACCCGAGTCCGCCCGGGTTGAGTAGCGGCGTGACGAGGTGGGCGGGCGTGTGTGTGGTAGAATCGAAGGCATTTAGATGCTCGCTCCGCTCATAAAATTATGGTACCCCTTACGGCTCAATCCGATAGAACAATTTTGACCTATATATGCTCATCTAGAACTTCTTCCTCAACCAATGTGGAATTGGTGTCAAATCCCACATTGCATAACCTCTATTTTCACATTTCAAGGCGGTCACTTTGGAGCCTATATTTACATTCATTTCTTACTCAATTTGAATAAGTGGATATACTATGTTATTCTTCTCACGGAGTAGAATACGAACCCACGAAAGTTTACTTGAAACAACGAATGGGTCTCATTTCAAATTAGGCTCAAAATCGACCAAAAAATTTAATTTTCACACTTAAGAAAATGTTTTGGTCCAATAGTTACACCTATAATTAGGCTCTTTGCTCCTTATATTTTCTAGTCTATAGAGTTCACCATTCTATTAGATATTTTGAATCATGTTAATTCTACATTTTTAAAGAATATAACAACTAAAACTATACTAAAAAATAATTCACGTGCAACGCACGTGTGCATCAACGAGTACATCAAAATATGTATAGAAATTTGTTTAAAAAAAAGAGAATTGAATGGGGGCAGTTGCCCCCAAAATGCATTGAATGGCTCCGCCCTTATGAATACAAATAACAAGTGTTTCAAATCAAGTAAACAAATTTAAACATTCCAAATCCTAAAGTTTAATATTATGGGGTTATTGATCATTTGTGATAGGGTAGAAAATTCTAGGGTTTTATTAGTAAAACTCTTGCTAAAAATTTGGATTTGATTTTAGTTCAAGCCTAATTATAATGTTTGAAAGTTTGGCTAAGTCGAATTTAGCAAAAGTTCTCAATACCTAAACTCACCTCAATCTCCAACTTTTCCAACCCACGATCGAGCCTAACTTAAGCAAGCTTGTGTCGTTTGTAAATTTGCCTTTGTGATATAGCCTTCATGAATTAAAAAGCATGTTTTGTTTTTTATTTTTTCAGTGACAGATTTCTTCCTTTATTTTCTTGATATTTTCCTTTTTTTTATTTTACTCTCTTGTTTTTTTTTTGGGTTTTGATAAATTTTTCTTTCTTCTTTTATTTTCTTACTTATTAAAGAGGTATCTATAACATAGGATGAACTTAGTTACTAATGAGACGAGTATAAAAGGAGTGGGCTTAATAGTTTGATAATAAAAACTTAAATTGGGTGGGAATGGATATTTTTGGGGTGGGAATAGCCTCACCCTAAAGTGAATCTCACTTGCATAGTTATTGGTTTACAAGGAAAATGAGTGGATAGTTATCTGCTTACATAGACAAGTAATTATTGGCTTATTTGTGATATACTTTCTTATTTGTTTGTATATTATTAGTTGGTAATACTACGTGGCAATGATACCATTGCAATGCATATTTTTTTCATTTTAAATATGCCCTATCTCTCTCTCCATATCTTCCCCTCCATCTCTCTGTGTGTAATAACATGCCCACAAGCATATTAGTCCCACCCACACATTTATTTATTGTTCTTTACCTTTTCTTTTCTATCTTTCTCCTCGCACCATATACTTAACGATCAATTCTTCCTCTTGATCCAACAAATTTTGTAACAACTTCCTTGATAAAATAATGTCCAAAGATTCATACTTTGAACATGTATGAGGGACACAATGATGGTTGAACTCTCTCTCTCTCCCTCCCTCTCCAAGAAAGGAATCCAGAAAGACAATTTGAATAAAAGGTTGTGGAGCTACCATTGTGACGCATTGTGTGTGTTTAGCCGATGTCGAACATAGAACTGTTATGGGAGTGAACTGAGTTACTCTTTTTGAAGTTTATTGTTGGTTTTAGATATGATGGTTAGGGTGTGAGAAGCAACAACGAGACATTGTGGGTTGTAGCTGGAAGAAGATCAATGGTGGCCATAAATGATTAGATATGGCGGCAACATTTTCATCGGTGATGGCGATTGTGCTGTTGGGACTAGGGAGGAGCATTTGTTTCCATCT